GTATTTTAGGATGGTTGTGAGTGGTCTGTTTAAAATTTCAGCACTATTACAAATTAGCAAAAAAAAAAAAAAAAAAAGAGCAAGCTTTGCCACACTTGATATGTTGCTACGCATCAATTCAGATAAGATAGCAGGATAAAAAGTTACTTGACAGAAACTATTACATTTTTCAGTAGCATTTTGTATGTATAATCTGACTTGACTCTATAATAAGATGTAGAGTTCAAATTCTTCTATCTTAATTTTTTTAATTGATAATAATAGATAGCATTTTTTTTATATAAAAATTGTCTCTCTAATTCAATAATTATCTAGGACCAAAAGTTAGTACGCATTCTTGAAAAAAAAAAAAAAGTTAACAAGAATTGCTTCACACATGCACGAGCATATGACGGTTACTCAAATTCTGTCCTGATTGTGGTTGCTATATACTAGACATTGGCAAAAAAATTAGTTGTTGGATAGGATAAGTTTTTGGTAACGACAAAAAATTTCATGACCATTGTCCAGAGTTCTAAATCTTAAAATTTTATAGAATCTAGAGTACTATATATACCACATATCATTTAATTTCAATGTGATCCAATGCAGTGTTATAATTGACGTGTTAATTATAAATTTAACATTTGAGTGTAAAAAATATTTTTCAACGCAATGTTATTTATTGTGCTAAATTTTTTATATGTTAGACTTTGTGGTAAATTTCTCAAGTATAGCATGAGAAATTTGACATTTGATTACTATTAGTTGAATTTTTTACTTTTTCATATAATTATTACAACTTTTACCGTTTCTAATTATTTTAAAAATAAAAGTTTACTTTTATGATTTTTAAAACTCAATGATTATGGGAAAAAATAGATTTAACACTTCAAATAGCATTATGCATCAGAGTAAAAATGAAAATAACATACTATATCACACTGTTTAATGTTAAATATACAATTACTATTAGTATTTGTATTGGAGATGGTCTAATATATTCAGAAACCTGGATAATAGTTTACAACTTTCAACTTTTATCTTTTATCTTTACCATAAGCAATGTTCTCCTTTGAGATTGCAGCTAGTGTGTGTTTTAACTGATTATGAATATAGAAAGAAGCTCGAGGGTGTGTTTTAACTGATTATGAAAAGAGCATGTCATTGGAAATGATTTAAGATTAGTATGGTATAACCAACTAGCAATTTCGTTAAAGGAATGATTAGTATTTGAGGCCTTTTTAGAGATACTTAAAATTTTAAGAAATGCGTATACATGTGATAAAAGATTTTATGTAATTTTTTTGGTACCTACACTAGACTATCTAATATAAGAATTATTTTCATACATGACATGATTTATATTCGGTTAATTAATTTGCTAGTTAATGTAAACATATTACATAGTAATAGGATGATCCAAAATTGACTGAGTGTGCATTTATAATGTATTCACAATTCAATTTTCTTTTCATTTTCTGAGATAATGCTTGTGCTTCACCGTGGTTTTAAAAAAAAAAGACAAATTCTTACAAAATATTTCTTTAAAAAGTTAAAAGTTAATTATCTAATTATTGCAAGACAAGTAGGCAACACTGCTCAACAACTAGTATAAAATTTTATGTTTTAAAAGTATCTTTAATCTTTTTCTTTTTTTTTAGTTTTTATTATATATGGTATAACCTATTAGTTAAAAACAAAAAAAGAGAGAGAGCACATGCATTAGTTGGTAGAAACTCAACGTATATGTGAGTTAACCATGTTTATAAAAAGGGTGAAAAATAAATTTTGAGTTAAATTTTTATTTAACATAGTATCAGAGCATAATTGATGACTATAAAGATTCGAACCTAGAACCTTATATAACTAGTTCTAATACCATGCCAAATAATCACCTAACCCAAGAACTCAATAAGTTGAGTCATTATTTATTATTTATTATAGTAGTGATTGGCAAAAATATTTTGATTGTGTAATCATTATTCTTTCACCTTGATGATATTATTTTTAGTTTCAATCGGTAGAAATATATTGATCACAAAAAAAGTTTGAAATTTAAATTAAGAATCTATACACATAAATTATTACAAAAGTTTTATAGTTTAGTTTTTATTCAATATGGTACATTCAAGTAACCACTTAAACTAGAAAATTTAAAGCCAGTTTGGTATATGGATGCAAACTAATGATTTTAATTATAACTTTGAAATTCAATTTTTTTTGTGTAAGAGAAACACTGTAATATAATTAAAATCATAGATTTGAACCCATGAAAAAACTATATGCCAAATATACCTTTAATAAAATGTATTCAATATAACTTATTTCTACTACAACATTGTTTAGAAAACTACTTTGATGTAGAGTCGTTCAATGGTAGAATTAGTAAGTCCATAGTGCAATTGAAAAGCATCGACCCTCAACAAAATAACAACTTATACAATAAAACTTGATGAAAAGTGCTAACGAACTCCATTTTGACTTTTTAATGTTGGAAAAAAACCTAAGAATTTTAATTGGTTTCTTTTGTAAAAAAAAACAGAGAGATATGTAACAGATGAAACATTTTAATAATAATTCTTTTAAAATTTTTGATAAAATTTTTTCCCTAACAACTTTTAAAAAGTTTTTGAACAGAATTTTTAGTTAACTTGGTATTAAATGAAGGTGATTGTGAAAACTGAACCTGCGACATTCAACTGATACCAAGTCAACTAACAACTTAACCCAAGAAACTCAATGAGAAGTTAAAATTTCTTATTTATATTTTAGGGAGAAAGAGGAAAATATGCTCACACTTGAGATGAATTAAAATTAATAGGCCAATAGTTTACAGAAGTTAATAAATAGGCCAAATTACTATTTTCGTCCATAACTTGTCTAATTATGAACTATAACTTGACAAATTATTATTTATAATTTGTCTGACTATGAACCATAACTTAACAAATTTATCCATAATTTATCTGATTATAAACCATAACTTAACAAGTTATGACTTATTAATTTCTATAACTAAAAATTAACCTATATACTTTCTTAAACTTTTCATATCGGCCTATTTTCTACTATTTCCCTAACACTACAAAAACGCTGTGATAGTCATATACAGAAGGGCATGCAGTACGGCCCATTATGCAAGCTCTGATAGGCCACTATTATTTGATGGATCACTCAATATGGGCCGGGCCCATAAACGCACATCACCCACACTCTAAACTGGCGCGTGGAACAGACATCATCGGAGAACCAAGCTTTCCATAATCCGCGCGTCTGTTCCACGGATAAGAACATCACGTGGGGAGTAACGTTCGTGTGCCAGAGGAACATTAATACAAATTAAAGAAAAATATGAAAAATCCCAAAATATACAACTTCTAAATCTAAAGCCGTTTTAGAACTTTAAAGTGTTTAGATTAGATCACTTATTTCGTCATGTACTTCCAGACAAGAACTCTCCCATAAATAATCACTTCGTATTTGACAACAAAAAATCTTCTTTTTCGCTTATCCAACAAAAGATCTTCTTTACTAAATATAAAACAAACTTAGTTCCACATTGACCGCAACAAACATACAAAAAGACGGGGGGAAAAAAAAAACAAAAAGAAATATTATCTTTTTTTTTTTTTTTTTTTTCAAGGAATTATAGGTCCAAAGGCTTTACACTCGGATAAAGATTTCTGCTCACCGCCTTGGCAGAAGAAGAAAATCTCGGGACACCGGAACAGGCAGTTACCGGTGAGCTCAACATGGGCCGAACCGGGTTTGAGCTGCAATAACGGGCCGGGTATGGGCCCAAGCAAGTAATTCCGGCCCAACAACAGCCTCGAGAACGGGGAAACTCCCCAACTGGGAAAAACCGTTTTAACGGCGTATTGCGTCGGGATCATCCCCGTGAACTTGTTGTTCTCCAAAGACAACGCCGAGAGCTTCGGCATAAGGGCGAAAAACGACGGCAAAAACCCGCCGATTTCGTTGTCCTTTAGGTCCAAAGCTATGAGCTGGCTCTCGACGACAACGCCGCGGAAATACGGCGGATGTACGGACGAGAATCTGTTCGAGGAGAGACTCAGTTGTTGCAGAGACTGGTGAGTGAACAGAAACGAAGGGACCGAGTCACCGAGTCGGTTGTGACTCAGATCCATCACCTGCAAAAACGACAGTCGTTTTATACCCTCCGGGATTTTCCCTCCCACGCTGTTGTTTCGGAGCGAGATTTCGACTAGAGAGGGCGGGAGATTCTCCGGGATTTCGCCGGAGATGAAGTTGTTGCTCGCGTCCAAGAAGTAGAGGTTTTGAAGAGAACCCAGATCGGGAAACTCGCCGGAGAAACTATTCGACTGAAGCTCAAGCCTTTTCAAGCTACTCAAACCTCTCAGACTCCCCGGAATTTCGCCCTCCAACCGGTTGTTATCCAGGAAGAGCTCTTCCAAACTCGATAGAGCTTTAATGGCGGTCGCCGGAATCTGGCCGGAGAATGAGTTGCCGGAAAGAGCGAGTCGCCGGAGCCGAGTCAGGTTCGAGAGCGAGTCGGGGATTGGGCCGGAGAAGAAGTTGTTGGAAAGGTCTAGGGTTTCGAGATAAGGGAGGTTGAAGGAGAGGGAAGCGAGTGAGCCTGAGTAACCAGCCTGGTCGAGGGCGAGTTCGGTGAGTCGACTCGCTCCTGACTCGTCCACTGAGTCGCACCTGAACCCGCACGTGAACTTGTCGCTGAAGAGGTTGTCGCATGGGTCGAGTTTGAAGTCCCATGAGCTTACGCACGACCCCGGACTCACTGAGTCGGGATCCAACTCGTTTTTGAACTCTTTCAAGACTTGGATATCTCCCCAATTTGTCTTTGATTCTCCTCTGAGCGAGAACAATGTGAATGTAATTGCTAGAACAAGTGGAAATACAGAGAGATTTTGTGCACCCATTTGGGAAGAAAAGAAAAAAGGATTGTGTTTGTTTATGGAACTTGGGATTTGCTTAGCTTAGCAGAGAAATGGGGGAATAAAGATGAAGAAGAGGACACCCCAGTTAATCAGGACCGTTGGTTTTGGTGAAATGAAATCAGAGAGTGAATCTCCATGGTATGGAGGAGAGAGAGAGAGAGAGAGAGAAACAGGACAATGAGTAAGAGGGGTGGCAGGAGATGAATATTATGGCTTATTGAGTGGCTCTTCTCTGTTGCTTTTTACCTCTCAGACTACAGAGCTCTTTTTTGTGAATGGCTTCACGGGCAAAATGTCAGAAGTTTTATTTATTTATTTATTTTTCATTAAGGCTTAGTATAAATCATCCATATTTGGCGGTATGTAATGGTACTTGGGGACTTGGGGACTTTGGGAGAGAAGAGGAAAGCTTGCTATTTTATTGTACTATCGATGTTTGTCCTAATGGCGACATCTAGTTTGATGATATAGTGACGTCTGTTTGAACCCAAGCAGGAGAGAAGAAGGAAAGAAACATTTGGCTTCTCATTTGACTGTTGAGCTGGCTCAGTTGTCTTGTTCATCTTTTTTTATTGCTCAAGACATGGTTTTTTGTTGAAGATGATCCGTTTATTTTATTAATTTAAATTTATAATTTAAATTGAGATATAATTTTATATGAAAAATTTTTATTATAATAAAAAAGTTAGATGTGACTGTTTATGAGATTTTTTTACTATAATAAAATTTAAATTTTAAACTCGAATCGGTAAAGTGAACAGGGCCTAAAAAAAATAGGGCAAGTGATAACGGATCAAAAGAATTTGTAAATTTCGGAAGTCCATTGGGATTGGAGGAGAGGCCAGAGTAATGTGAGTCTCGTTTATTTTACTGATTTAAATTTTATTATAATAAAAAATTACATTTTAATTTAAGCTAAAACTCAAATCAATAAATTAAACGGCAGCAAATTATGTAATTGTCAAGAAAGGACGAGTTGGCCTCGAAAATGACGTGGTTCTTCTGCTTCTTGTCCTTTTGATTCCAATTTACTTTGGATATGTTCTCTAGCTTAATGGATTGAGATTTCTATGGTTTGTTTTCGATTTAAGTGGTTGGGGTCGGGTCAATATCAGAAATTATATAAATATATATATATATATATATTGTACATATTTTATTTTGATATGATTTTAATTAGATGTAATATTAAAAAATTTAAGGTTTGTTCTTTTGAAGTGTGACTTGAGTATAATTTTTAAGTTAAATTTGAGTTATAACTTGAGTTAAAGTTGTAACTTGAGTTTGTGTTTAGTTGTGTACATTTGAGTTATGATTTGAGATAATAATCTTTTTTGAGTTTGTGTTTAAGTGAGTCAAAACTTCAATTTGTATTTAGATAGTATTTTAATAAAAACTCAATGGTGATGAAAAATTTTAATATGGTATATGGGTGAGATTTTATTCGTCTTTTCGTTGTCAATGCATAGAAAAAAATCATCTCAATCTGGATTAAAACGAAAAAGTTATAATATTTTTAAGAAAAGAAAAAATACTGTTTATTAATTTGAGTTTGAGTTTCTGAACTCGAGTTGAAGGGGATACTTAAACTCGAGTTTTAGTCTCAAACTTGAGTTCAAACTCGAGTTTAAACTTAAAAGAATATGAACTTGAATAAAGTTAGAACTCGAGTTATATTTTTTGAGTTTTTTGGGCAGCCAAACACACCTTTATATTATCGGTACCGTGGAAGTACCCCAATAGATTTAGAAGACATTTGAAAACCTTACTTTGATATGCTCTAATTCATGGAGATAAGATTAAGAGCCAAATAATTGTTATATAATTCCACAATACATATTTTTATTACATTTCTTGATGCTGAAGAAATATATATATATATATATATAAAGTTTACATTATTTTAAGTTCCAACTTTATTCAAGTTACAACTTCAACTCAAGTTATAATTCAAATTCAACTCAAAAACACATTCTAAAAGAACAGACCCAATGACTTTCAAGTTTGGTGGGGCTTTTCTAGGCAGTCTTGCCACTTATGAAAAAAAAAAAAAGTGGTAGTTGCATAATTTCGCCTTTTGATTATAGGTTTACAGGCTTATAACTAACAACTTTGAATTATACAACAAAGATCCCCCAAAGGCCAAAAGCCACCCCATTTCTACAATGCAGATTCGCGTTTGGTATTTCCATGTTGTTACCACCTATAATAAAGTCTTACAACCAAAAAATGAGATATTGATATGCGGAGTATTAATAAAGTATTACTAAGAAGTAATATTTATATTTGCAATCAAAATATTAATAAAGAATGGCCCACCTATATTTTCATATTTATATTGATATGAAAAAGCCTGAACCATCCCTTTCTTGTGCTTCTTCTTAACAGAATTTAATGCCGGAGCTTTAGGATATTGTGTCTTTCTTTTAATTCATGATTTGAATAAGACTGAGGACTCAGAATATGTGGACCACTAGAAAAGAGATGACTTTAAGAAGTACGTTAACAATTTATCTCGTGACAGATCTTAATTAAAGGGGTTCGACCTTGGTCCTTATTTGGTTGGAGGGACAATAAGAAGAGGGACTTGGGATAAGAGGATTAATGCATAAATTTTAAAGACTCAATGTTAAAATCCGTGCGCTAATATATAAAATTACAAAATTAAGGATCCGTTTAGTTCGCTGATTTGAGTTTTTAATTTGAGTTGAGATGTGACGTTATGTGAGAGCTTTTTACTATAATAAAAAAGTTAAATGTGACTGTTTTTAAGAGCTTTTTACTGTAACAAAACTCGAATTCTAAATTCGAATCGGCGAAATGAATAGTGCCTTAATAATTTGATGGACGAAAAGGACTAAGGCCCCATTTATTTCATCAATTCGAGTTTAGAATTCAAGTTTTGTTACAATAAAAAGCTTTAAAAAATAATCACATTTAACTTTAAAAAACTTTCACATAAAGTCACATATTAATTCGAATTAAAAACTCAAATCAACGAACTAAACAGACCATAATATGATATGGTTAATAAGGTAATATTTAATTCATGAGTTTAAAATTATAATTCATAATTATAATTTTTTTAATTTAAATTTTTTAAAAGAGAAAAATAATGTAGCAGAATCAACTAGAATTAACTAGCCGTTTTGCTTCTTCAACGTTGCCTTTCCTCCGCGCATGATTGGATCAACTACAAGTAATTAAACAAAAGGACGGAAACAATTGATTATTACAGTACGTGATATTATAATATTTTTCTTGAGAGGCATATTACACCAATCAGGTAGCTATATAGATGATGATCAGGAAAAAGGTTAGCTATGTAGATGCTATAGGACAAAAGGCAACACAAAAGTTGTTAAGAGGAAATTAACTAGAATATATTTTGACCACGTATCCCTACGGCCTACTCACTGGTTTCCCTTAGGTGACCAGTCAAACCTGGCCTGCTTCTCTTTTGTTATTTTTGCCAACGCTCAACAGATACCGCCAGAACAGATTTGTGATTCATCTCAAACACAAACGCCTTTAATTCCCACTAATCCATAATTCAGCGCTTACCATAAGCCAACTATACAAGGCTTACATAAGAATTAAGAATGCAATAATGAACTTTATAGCGACTATATCGTCGAGATATTAAAAGCTTACAAACACTATTATTTCTTTTTTAGAATTTAAAATTAAAAAAGATGACAATGAATAAGCGACCACTTGTCGTTGCCATGAGAATCCCAGTTCTTGTAGTGTAAAATGAAGAAGATGAAAAAAAAGAAAACAAAAAAAAAAACCATCATGATGTTTGTTTCTCAGATAATCAAATCCTTTCATTTATTCAAGTCAAGAGATACTGAAAGAAATAATAATAATAATAAAAAAAAGCTGACAATCAATCAAATTCAGTTTTTTATTCTCAGAATTTCACATCTTGAGAACATTTAAGAATTCAATGTTTGCCCAACATCAATGACAAAACGGTATCTGACATCTCCTTTCTTAAGTCGCTCCATAGCAGTATTTACATAATCCATTGGGATAACTTCAATTTGAGATGTAATATTGTGTTTGGCTGCAAAATCTATCATCTCTTGTGTTTCTTTCATCCCTCCGGTGACAGTTCCAGCCACCATTTTCCTTCCTACATTGTGTCATCATCAATCAAATCACATTAGTTTCTCACGTGATAAAACTTTACACTTGCATTATTATTCCCCCCCATAACAAATCAAAATGGAGTGCTTCTATTTGTCCCTGCGGGATTTTAACCCTAATCATATGTATCAAACTTTGATAGGCTAAAATAATTTTTTTTCGATATATATATATATATATTTTTAAATTCCTAAGATCCACAGACTTATAAATAGTACAATATTTTCCGTTTTCGTATTTATTGAACATCCCAAGTTAGCACAGAACATGATGTCTAAATATTATTATTATTATTATTTTTTTGGTGCGTGTGCAAAACTTACCCAACAGCAAAGGAAAAACTGGTAGCTCAAGTGGCTTGTCCGGTGCACCAACCATAATCAGCTTTCCTTGTGACTTTAATAGACCAAGTAAAGGTAAAAGAGGATGCACTGCAGAAACAGTGTCAATAATACCATCCATGGTGCTCGTTGCAGCCTTCACAATACCAAAAACAACAACATTAATTGAATCAAACATTAAAAAAAAAAAAAACTCTGTTTAAAGTCATTAATTAAAAAATAAAACTAATCGAATCAATTATGTATGTACCAGCAATTGATCTTGGTCGCGACTGGCCAAAAACGAGTCAGCACCAAGATGTTCAATGGCTTCAACCTTCTTGCTAGGAGAGGTACTTATCACAGTGACCTTAGCCCCCATTGCCTTGGCAAATTTCACGGCCAAGTGGCCCAGCCCACCGAGCCCGACAATACCTACATGAGTACCGGGCTTGTCGAGCCCAAAGTGTCTTAATGGGCTGTAAACAGTGATACCAGCGCAAAGGAGAGGCGCGGTGGCATCAAGGGGAAGGTTGTCAGGAATTCTAAACACAAAGTGCTCGTCGGCCACCATTAGGTCGGAGAAACCGCCGTAAGTGGTGGTTCCGTCGTGGTACTCAGCACTGCACGTGGGTATTATTTTGGCGCAGTAATTCTCAAGATCGTTGACGCATGAATCGCATGAGTTGCATGATCCAACAAGGTACCCAACACCGACTTTGTCACCAACTTGGAATTTTTGCACTTTGCTGCCTACTTCTGTCACCACACCAACCAGTTCATGCCTGTATATATGCGTCCAAAATCAGTTCCACTTTGATGAGTACTTAAAGAGGGATTTGGAAAGTTACTTGTTAAGACATCCTTTTTCTTTCTGAATTATACAATGGATTCGACCCTTTCTCCTTCTGCTGTAGTATTTTTTTCTCACAAAACATTTAACTAAGAAAATTTTTTTACTTATAATTCTCTTATAAAAATTGAATTTAAAATTAAAATTATTAAATCAACGTTGAGTTTATGAATTTAGAATTATAATTCTAAATTCATTCTTATATTTTTTATGAAAAAAATATAATAACGAGTCACGATACAAATCCATCAACCAAACGCATAATGATTTAAACGTGTGAATCGAACCAGCCGTAAGTAAAACGCACGGACGTACCCGGGAACAAGTGGGTAGAGAGAAATGCCCCAATCATTCTTGATCATGTGTAGATCCGTATGGCATATCCCACTGTACAACACCTTGAACGTAACGTCCTTCTCCCCTGTTTCCCTGCAAATCAAATACATATTTAAACAATACCCAAAGCTTAGATCTTCCTCAGACGCGCAAAACTTCATCTAAACTTGGATTTGAAATGAAGAATAAATCGAACAAGATCCTGAGCATGTTTATTAATGGTCAAGAAAAGAAGTAGTTAAAAATCTAGTTTAGTTGATGGATTTGAGTAAATTTTTTTTTTTTTTTTTTTGAGAGAAAACGTTACAGTGAAAAAAGATTAAACTGTGATTCAAACAAATAAACTGGCTATAACTTACTTACCTTCGATTGAAATGGAAAGGGGAGAGAACACCGGAAGAATCTCGAGCCGCCCATCCAAAGGCCTTCTTGGTAATGCGTTCGCCGTTAGATGCCGCCATTTTTCTCTCTTCCAACAAAAAGGGTAAATATGAAATAGACCAAAAGTAGAGGATTTAACGACGAACTATTAAAGAACAGAGAGAGAGAGTGAAGAATTTATGACAATAAAGAATGATGAAACGATTGGATTATATAGAAAAAAAGTCGTCAGATGCTCAACGTTTAGTCAACGGCTGGCCGGGGTTAATACAAATTTTAATTCTGTAAATCAGATTTAATTTTTTTATTACAATAAAAAATACTTATAAAAATTATATCTCAACTTAAATTATAAACTCAAATTAACAAATAAAACAGACCTTTAACAGCTGACATAGGTTAAAATAAATTTTAACCTAGTTTATTTTATTAATTTAAGTTTTTAATTTTAAATTTTTACAGTAAAAAACTCTTAAAAAATATTAAATTTAATTTTTTTTATTATAATAAAAAAATTTTAAAAAATATTATATATCAACTTAAATTAAAAATTTAAACTCTAAGGGAACGAGGTACTTGTGTACACATGTTCTTGGCTTGTCAATCGGGACTTTCTCTGAAAATAAAATAATGTTTAATAATTGCCCGGCAGTGACGTGAAGATCTTCTCTTTGATTTCTCTCTGTGTTTTTTTCTTAGGACGAATTAGTTCGTACTAGTTTGAGTACAGTTGTTCACAACAGATCGGCCAAAAAAAAAAAAAAAAAAAAAAAAAAAAACCCAAAAAAAACAAAAAAAAAAAAACAAAACAAAAAACATTATGGTTTGTCGTGGGATACTGTGGCAAATATATCACTGAGCTGGTTTAATTGCAAAAATGTGCCGTTGGGTAATTTTCTAAATTTCTAATTAGGATGAAATCAGTTTAATTAGCGTTTTCCTATATCATAGGTATATCAATACAGGGGATTTTTCCGGTAGCCATTGAAAAAATATACTACTGATATAATTTTTATTTTTAACTGTTAAATTTATATTTATTTATGATTCTAATAAACAATAACAATTAAAAATATGAACTACAGATAAAAAGGTCTAGAAAAAAAAACCCATATCGCTAACTCTATATATAGATTCATATCGATCTATATGCACATTCATATCTCTATTCCGGAAATCAGTTTTGAATGGACTTTGAATAATAAGCACGGCAGTGGAGTAATTGGATTGTGATTACTCTATTACTACTCGTTTAGTATGTGAATTTAAGTTTTTAATTTAAATTTAAATGTGATTTTATGTGAGAATTTTTTACTCTAATAAAAAAATTAAATATGATTTTTTATAAGAATTTTTAATTATAATAAAATTTAAATTAAAAATTTAAATTAATTAAAAGAACGAAATTTCGTGTGAAATTACTTTCCATGAAGGTGGTCGGGCCCACCACTTATTTATTTATTTTTTAAAGAAAGTTAAGTGTGTATTACGCACTAGTGTTTTATGGTAAGGAAACATTATTTTAACGAAGCAAATTTGAAAATGTAGCAGAGACCTTGTGAAGCATGGAGTAGCAGAATCTCTAGTGGTGAATTGATGAGATCGACGAGATCAATAGCTCCACGGAGATCTGACGTCGTTGTAGATCGGAGTCGAGGTCGCCGAGATCCATCGCTATTCACGAGTGGCGTCACCGGCGAGGTCGCACAGAGCTTCGTGAAAGTATAGAGCGGTCGCGAGAGAGAGAGAGAAAGGTGGGGGAAGAGAGAGAGAGAGAGAGAGAGACTTGATGCCGGCGGAGGAGAAAGGAAAAGAGTTTGAGCAGAGAGTTCGTGAGAGAGAGAGAGAGAAGGGAGGATGAGAGAGAATAAAAGAGGAATTGTTAGGGTTTAGATCGAATCAAGGGCATTTTAGTCCTTTGAATTGTATTTAAAATATTAGATATATAAATGCCCTTTGAATGGTATTTAAAATATTAGATATAATTTTTTAAAAGGGTAGAATTAGAAAGTCCGGTGATTATAAGTGTAAAACGTTTGATTTACGAATTTAGAATAATGATTTAAAGTTATTTTTAATTTATGTGTAATTTTTATAAAAAAAAAAAATTATAATGAGTCACGAATTATGATACAAATTATGATACAAATTATACACCAAACACTCATGTAGTTCTCTCTACCATCAACCGTTTATCAACTGTTTGTTAATGTTGTAACTTGTAAATAGAGAGCAAGACAATTTAAGATCCTTAACATGTAATTGAACCTATTAGTAAAGTATGCTCCACAAGCTAATAATTAGGTTCGTCGTTGAAGCCAAAGGATTATCCAGAAACCACCCTATAAATGTAAAATGCTTTATTGATATTTTTCATGAACAAACAAATTACAATAGAGAAACAATATAAAAAGATGGAAACGCTTATTTTTTATTTTTTATTTTTATTTTCCATCAAGATCAACTAATAATTTTTTTAAAAAAATAATATAAATGAGTGAATAATAATTTGTAGTCCTTTTCTATACATGACACGTATGTATAATGTATAAATCATGTTAGAGGAGGTCCTTCTAGTCTGATGTAATCATACATTAGTCCTTGTAAAAGGTCGTTGTTTCTTGTTTGAGAAAGATATATGGTGTTCTTTCCATGTTGGAGTAGATAGCTAGGAACATTTATGCTGTAAAACCAGTACAAGCCATGAATTCCATGCCTTGCAATGGCATTGTCTT